GCGGAGTTCGCGCGTTCGGGTGGGCTCCGCGGCCGCCGAGGCAAACAGCCCTCCCAGCGCCCCTTTTCCCTGCGGGTCTGGAGGGCGCCCGGTTATGGAAGTCGGGAAAGCGGGGCCTGGCGGGGTGGAGGCGCGCCGGGTCCGGGGAGCGTTCAGCGGTAGGTCCGGGCGGCTTTGGCTTTCCTGTGGGTGCCCAGAGTGAGAAGAGTTCTCTGCCTGAATGTGGAGGCCAGAAAGGGAATACCTTCTCCCTCGAAAAGCAAAACACTGCCGACGCCAGGTTAGACTTTGCCAGCGATGGTTGGAGTTGTCCCCGACACTCGGTTGCCTCCCTGGAGGTGGCGAAGGTCCCTGGACCGCCGGAGACACCCCTTCCCCAACCGTGGGCAGGATCGGCGCTTGGGTATCTTCTTTACAGGTGGTCGGGTCCGGGGTCCAGGCAGCGCCCTGAGCTGGAAGGGGGAGACGGAAAGTCAAGATCAGTATTTGTTCCCTTGGAGTCTTCCCTTTGGGCTTTTGTTAAAACCCGAATCATTATTATGGTTGATGGAGGTGAGGCAATGGGGATAGTAGGGCCTTAATTTGCTCTGTTCCTTTGGTTGGGACATGTAAATACTTCTGGCTTTTGGGGGAGGGTTCCCTTGATGCCTACACTTGGACCCTGTGGGAAAGCACGTGTCACGTGCTTCTAAATTACTAAAAAAAGGACTGTACTCTTAGTAATTCCTGCTTTAAGGAATCTAGACTTGAAGTAGAAGGCATCGTGTTTTTTAAAAAATACAGTTTTCTGGTTTGGGGCTGTAAAACCTTCCAAGATAACATTAACCCTAGTAACCATTTCAAATTCTTACTGTATTCTCAGAAAAAAACATAAAAATTATGGAATTCGCCAGCTTTAGTAGTTCACACCTGTAATCCCAGCACTCGAATTTCAGAGATTCAGACAGGAGGATAACAAGTTCTGGCCAGAACATAGATCCTGTCTCAACAAAACAAAGCAAAATTAAAATTGAGGGGCTTAAATCAGATCCCAGCCCTTTATATGAGGTGTTTTGTCTTTGGACTTGCTAGGGGTGCACTCTTTTATCATTCACCTACGTTCCTCTCCCTTTTTAATTTTGAGACTGGGCTCTCACACTATATTGCCCAGGCTGGCCTTGAACTTGAAATTCTGCTTCAGCCTCCCAAGTAGCTGGGATTATCTCAGTTTTAACTGAGAACTTTTCTTCCATGGGGAATGGGAAAGCATGATTTGTCAATTATTCCATTGTATGGTGGAAGGGATTTTGATAGACATTTCTGTTCATTCTGCATGTATTCTGTAGAATTAACCCTTAAGTTCATAAGATCTGGTCGGTACACCAGGAAGCAAGCATATTTGAAAGTTGAACTCTGTCTTAGTTTGAAAGGTGTTTTCCAGTGGACTTGGCATCTGGAGAGAAGCCTGAAGTTTCTTTCCATGCATGACTATTGAGAAAGAAGATACCATGGAAAAAAGCAGATCCAAAGATGGAGGTTTGAAGTAGAGACATGTTTGATGCCCTATGGACTAAATTCCTCTGAAAATTTAAGTTCAATAAATTCTTGGATGTATTTGTTTTATTGCTTCAATCATTGAGAGGGTTTCTGTCAATGCAATTCAATTAGGAGTCCTAACTGATCGTGGTAGATAGCAAGGGAGGAGGTGAGATGATAATACTGATAAAGTAGGTTGCAGCCAACCAACAAGGTCTAAATGCTTTTTTTAAGATAGGTGTTTGCATTTTATTCTAGGAATGCTGATATCTACTTATATTCCACATCCTCTAGAACATGTATCTTCAAAAATACCTTTGGCCTTTTTAGTGGTTTCATTGTCCTCTTAGTTTCCAGGGTCAAACTATGTTCAACTCTGACTCCTCCCTCCTGTACATTCTGTATTTAATTATTTACTAAGGCCTGGTGATAATCCCCCCTTTTGTTTTTGTCAGTCCTCTGCTACCACAAGAATATTTCCCACGGTTCAGTTCACAAGTACTGCTTTTCCTGCTTCCACATTCTGTTTCCAAAAACAGAAATACTGCCAGATAATTTCATAGATCTTATACTCGTGTGTTCCCCAGCCTAAACTCTCTTTAAACAGTTTATTCTGTTCTCTTTTATGCCTTTGTATCCTTCAAACAGAATTTCCAACTCTTCAGCTGATTTATCCCAGTTAAGCTGAGCATTTCCTACTCCCTTTTCCACTGATATTCCTCAGCTGTTCTTCAGTTTCTTCATCTGTAAAAGGGGCTAATAACCCATCTCATAAGGTAATTGAGAGAAGGCTTGTGCATGCATGTGTGTGAGTAAAACAGAATCTGGTATTTTCTATCACTGGCATTCAATTTTGGGTAGTAAGTCGCCTTTGCTCAGATTCTTCCCTTAGCTCCAGGTCTTCCATCAGTCACAAAGTAGTTATATTCTTTTCAATATCTTTTTCATCCTTTCATTGACATTCCCAGTTTTACCACTAGAGTTAAGGGTGAATCAGAAAATAGAAAATTTGAGATACACATAACAGGATATACAAGGTAAGTTTTTTTTTTTTAAAGCATACTTGATAGTCAATTACTCTTAGATCCTTTAGAAGGAAATACACTGCATTATGGACTTCAAAGTTAAAAGTCTAATCTTAAGTCCTCACTAATACTAAACTGAGAGACACCAAGCAAATCAAGTAATTCCTTTGAGCACTGGGGTACGTAAAAGTTACAAGAATGAGCATTTCAGAAAATTGTGGCTTGGTGGGCATAATGGTTGTAGATTTTTACAATTTTGCTAGTTGGAACTCTAGGAACAGTTATAATGGCGCAAAACTACCTGCAGCCTACACTTCTCTCTCCTTAGGGCACCATACTTTTCTGGCTTGTATCTAGATGTTCTCCAACACTCCATGCGGTCTTAGATGGGGCTTTTGGAGGTGGCTGAATCTAGGGTGTCTGAATGTGGGTTGAGGATGTGAAAGTGAGATTGTGTGTGGTACCAGATTAGTCCACTAATTGGTTTATCAGTTCTGGGTGTAGGTAGTGAGAAGCCTCACTGTGGGCATGGGTGGTACCACCCAAAAGGCTTGTAGCCTAAATGGGAAAGAGATTCTTGCTGCTGCTGCCGCCTTTTGCTGTTAGCTGTTTCCAGCTTGTCTTGCCATGGACTGTTTCTCTTTTGCCATATCCCAGTGCCATGCCACCCTGCCTTGGAGCCAGCCATCTATGGACTGAAACATTATGAATTGAGTATAACCATTCCTCCTTTAACTTGTGGGCCTTGGGTATTTTGTCCCAACAACAAAGAAAGTATGATTTTGGTACTTGGCATCTGTCTGTCTTTTCATTTTTCTGGTCTTTCTGGGAGAAAGACCTGACACCCAAAGTTAAAGGAGGAAAGGTTATTTCAGCTTACGGTGTGTAGAGGTCTCCAGTCTATAATCAGCCGGTTCCAAGGCAAGACAGCATGGCAGAGGGACATCACAGAGGAGAAACAGTTCTTAGTGTGGCAAGCGGAAGGTAGGAAACAGCAAGTAGCAAGCCTATTTTCATTTTGTCTAATACAGGTTACAGCCTGTTGGGGTACCACTTACACTAAGGATGGTGGTTCTGTCTTCAGTAAATTCATTCAGCCACAACCAGAACTACGCTAATTCCAATCAGTGGATGAATTTAATACCACACACCCTTAATTCCAGTATTGCACTCCTTAGATCCAGCAAGCTCCAGAAAGCCCCACCTTATGAGCACATGAGGTTGGGGGGGGTGTCTAGATACAAGCCATAACACACACATGTCCAGTTACCTACTTAATGCTTCTTTTAAGGTATCTCAAATACGGATGCTCCTTTCAGTCTGTTCACAGAACCTCAATTTTTTTTTTTTAAATAAAAGTGGAGTTACATGTTTTTTCCTTAAAAAAAAGAAACTTAGCATTTCCTATTCCATCCAAACTCTTATTAATTATGGCCAAATTACCCTGCTTGATGGGGCCTCTACCTTCCTCTCCAATCTTTTATTCGACCATTTTCTCTTCTTCCCATAATACTCCCACCCAGAAATTTCCTTTCAATTTCTCGCTAATCTCTACTCTCAGGCTCTGGCACATCCTGTGCCCTTGCCTTGCCTCCCTTCCTACCTTTTTAAACCTTCATTTCTCAGCAATCTTACTATTTAAATAGGTCACCCCTCCTACCTTTCCCCCATTATAATATCCAGAACTCCCTTTTATTATGTCCATTATTCCTCTCTGTACGTATGTATTTGTTTGATGTTTTCTTAATTTTCTTCTCTATTACCACATGATAATATCCAGAAGAACAAGAACCATGTGTTTTATCACTGTACATACAGAATCCATTAGATGATAGAAACAAAAGGTCAAGCATTCTAGAAAAAAATATTTTTAGGATCATCTTTATATCCCCAATTATGGTTATAGGTAGATCATTGTGAAGAGGTAGCCTTAATAATGTATATGAAAGTATAAAAGCGGTAAACCAGAATCAGTTCTGTAGTTGTGATGCAACTAATAACTGTGCTTGTAACAGTATTTGAGGACCCCAAGAATATGTAACACTGTTAAGAGATACAGCAAATACCTGTATAAGATGCTGAATATATAGGGAGCGATGGGCATCAAGTTATTGTGCCTTTTAAATAGATGGCAATATTTGGTGCCAGGTACTGATTCCTTCAGGCAGAGTTGAAAGTTTAACAAAACCAGATCTCTCTTAGCCAAACTCACTCACAGACCACATAAGCACTGTACTTGGGAAGGGGAGGAATGCTTGGAAGAACTGACGCTTTAGGTTCCTGGTAATACTATGGCTTTTCCTTTCCTTTGTATGCCCCATTTCCCTCCAAGTTAGCTGAATACAGGTCCAAAAGGATCAGCAGTAGAAATGAGGTAACTATAAGAAGGGTAGCTCATCGACCAGCAGATTTGTTGGCATTGCCTGTACTTACCTGAATGGGAGGAGAAAGACTTGGAGAGAAATAGCTGACCAGGGAGTGGGCTGAAGTAAAACAGTCCACACGTCCATCATTTGGTATGGCAAGGATGTGTACATTTCTATGGTTTGATTGATGCTGGGTAGAAAGTTCTGTCCAAGTTTGGACCATGACACTTGAGAGAGAAGGCTATTTTAGCAACAAGAGGCTGTGTAGACTAGGGAAGGAATCTGAGAGAATAAGAGAGGACTAGCACTGATACATCCCTGCTACTGAATGAAATACCCTCCTGTTGAGTGAGGTACATCCCTCCTGTTGAGTGCTGTGGAAAGCTGCCTCTATTTCCAGTATAACAGTGTACCGTACTAAAGAGTGAGCATTTGGATGTGATGTGGATTATACAATTAAGAAAAACCTCTCTATTTTGCCTCCCAGTCACCAGTACTAGAGGGATGGGCCCAGAAAGGACTGATAACAAATTGGTTAAAAAAAAAACAACCCCACCTTTCATTTTCAGTTTCCTGAGTCACAATTTCAACCAGAGAATGTTTAGCTTGGAACTGAGATTAGAATTTCAAACTGGATAGATGTAATAATTTAGAGTGTGGTGTAAAAGCTAAAGAACATGCTAAAACCAGTTTTAAGGGATTTGGTGCCTGGTGCATCTCAAATTTTAATTCACATGCCAGTCACCTGGGGATCTCATTAAGATGAAAATTTCTCTTCTATCTGGGATAGTGCCAGAGGTTATACGTTTCTAACAAGCTCCCTAGAAATGCAGCTGATTCCAGGACCACAGAAAGCACTATAAAGTAGAGAATGGAGTTTCAAGACAACACAGTTGTTGAGACAAAAATATCAGATTGAAATATATAAATGATCCAATCTTTGTGTGTAAAAACAGGTTGAATGTCAACAACTTTAAAATTACCCATCAAATAATTCATTCAATAAAATGGAAAATCACTGCATATTTCTCACCTTCTGATAAATATGTCCTACTTAAATGAGAATGTACAAATGAAGCCGTGTGTGGAAGTAGCAGTGACCTGTGATGGCAGGCATGAGCCCTTGCTAGAAAAATCTATGCATTTGCAGAAGAGCAGAGCAGTAGTAACAGCGAGCCAGTTCTAGAATGTATAATTTTATGATTTTGTCACTGGTTAGCATGTGTCCTTACTTTACTAATAACAGAAATTCAAACTAAAGCAACAGCATGAATTTTAGGCAAAAGCTTTTAACTGGAAAGTAAGAAAATGGTAAGGGGTTTTGGTTTGAGGATCTGACAAAGATCAAGTGGTGCCCTAGCAATCTAAGAGAAGATAGGGAAAGGACTCCAGCGTGAGTAGCTATGGGGTGCACACTCGGATGAAGAAGATCAGATTGGCCTGTTCACAAGAGAAGGGAGACCAGTTTTAGGGGACGCTATGGTGCTCTGGAGTTCAGTTGATCATTATCTCAGTCCTGGTTTTGTAGCTCTGGAGGAATTGGCACTGCTTGAATGGCTGTTTGATTTCCAGTAGCTGAATCTACATGACTCGAGGGTAGTTGTGAGGTTTGGCTGGACTTCAGGGTGACCATAGGTCTAGGGCAATGGAGAATTTAGGGCAAAGCTGAAGGTCCCCATGAATCTCTTAACCTGATGTTCTGAGTCTTAAAAGGTAATGAGATAGGCTAGGTAAATTTAGAGATAATAGACCCTGTTTTTCCAACTTTTAGACAAATGTCCTAAATGACTAACATTGTATATGCAGAGCTGAAAAGGACTTGATTGAGAGTTTTATGAAATGAAGGTCAAGCTTTGTCCTGCATTTAATTACCTACTGGGCCTCTTTACCCCAAAGTGAAGAGTCATGGTTTTTAGCAAAAACCTCTTTTATGTCCCTGACTGCCTCAGAAGAAAATACAAATCATGCTTTCAATGAAAAATAGGTTAAGGGCCCAGGATTTTGTTTATGGTGGTCTCTGTTGTCCAAATGTGAAGTCTTCAGAACTGTGTGTGTGGATAAAAACCTTAACTGCCACTTAGTAGAGCTGAGTTCAGAAGGAAATCCGTACCTTCTATTTCCACTAACTTGTTAATTTTAACTTAAAAAAGGTTAGTAAATACATATTTGCCAAAAAAAGAAATGGAAAGAAAAAGATTACACTTAGGGAGCTATTTTTTGTTTGGTTTTGAGGGGAAAATAATGCTCATGTTTATGTGCATTAGAGTTACATTGTAATTTTAAGATCGTATGGCTCTACCATTATTTGACAACAGAATTTATCCATCTATTTCTTGAGGAGTTTAGGAGTTGGATCAATTTAACTAGGTAACTACTCTGACATGATTTTACTTTATCTGGTAAAATAAATTATTACCCAAATCTCCATTTAACTTTCCTTTCACTTCATGATTCTCTGCAGCATGTAAGATTCCTTACCCCACTAGTAGTGGCAAAAAAGCATTTTGGTGACCCCAGGTAAAATGGCCTTGTAATCTAAGCATTTACACTAGATTCTCTCAGAAGCATCAGTGAACATCCTTATTCAGAATAATGTGTCACCAATACAAACCAAATAGAATAAAATCTGTTACTGAACTGTGATGTGATGGATTTACCAAACTTTACTCTGTAAATGATGCTCGTTATTAGGCCAAGAGGATATATCCTACAGGTCTTCTAGAGTGTCCTAAAATTCTGTTTTCTCATGATAAAATTTTGTTATTACTATTAAAACATAAGTTAGTCCCACAATATCTTTTTCTCACCTCTCCTCAGGATTTAGAAGCTTACATATCATACTCTTCTAATAATTCTACAGTTCATTAGTGATAAGACTTAGTAATTTTCTACCTTAATAATAGAACTAGTCAAAGTAATAATAAACAGGAATATTTCTTATGTACTTTGCAGAATCTTTAAAAAGTATCATGTTAGTAAGTTGTTAATTTTTTAAATCAGTAAACTACTTTAAAGAAAAACAAATGGTAAATAAGAATTTCTACTTGAGGTACCCAAATACTGGAATTAAAAACATGTCAATTTAAATAAAATTTCTTGATTCTCTTTCATTATTTTCTTTAGTAAGTCTCTTAGAAAGTAAGAAGACAATACAGAGGACTTAAAATATTTTCAGTTTTGTCCATTATGGGTCAGAAAATAAGTCATAGAAGAATTTAAGGAATGAATAGAAATTGTGGTTTTGTCAGAGGCAATGAATATTCTGAAATATACCTGAAAATTTTAAGATGACATGTAAATTATAATTCTAGTGTAGAAATGAAGATCTATAAATTTCCTGACCTCTGATTATAAAAGCAATAGTAAGTAAAACATTCAGAATACATATGCTTTTAAGCTTTTTATTCAATATTTTTACTTATTATCATTATCACTGTTGGAACTATCACTATCATAAATAGAAGTGTTTCTAACTGAAGATGCCATCATATCCTCAATGTTTCTTTTAGGGTTTTCTTCCAAATCAGTCTGTATTGCTCCAACTTTTGCTAGCTTCCATTCAAGTTCTGCAATAGATAAACCATCATCAAGCTGCATAAAAATCTTGGAAAAAATGCAAAGAGGAATTTATCATCTATATAAAACAAGTTGGCTCTAATAAAAATAATGTAGAAATGAAGATGTATTTAAAACTAGATGTCAAATATTACAATATCAGAATACATATTGGATAGTGCAAAGTTATATTTAAAAGACAAAATTAGGTTTAAAATGCTTATTTTTAAATGAGTGAAAATAAATGGTTTAAAACTTCAAGTCAAGCAACTAAGAAAAGAACAGTGAAGCAGAAAGAAAAGTAAAAAGAGGAGTCTAATGAAGAAAATGCCTTAGACACAGTCCAGGCAAAAATGTTCACAGAAAGGGAAACCATGTAAGATGAAGAATTTACATGAGACATAACCAAATCATGACAAGATACCATTTCTTATCCATCAGATTACAAAAAAATCCACATACAAAATTAACAACACTAAGATATGATAAATATGTAAGTAAATCATAACACCAGACACTCAAAGAATTTTAGTATATGTGCTGCCGAAGTGAGCACTCAAAGAATTTTAAAAGCCTTGACACTACTGTGGGGAAAAAACCATGCTAGTAAATTTCAAAACTTTAATGGGAGAATTTCAAGAAAATATGAATTACTATATCAGTTAACTTTCTGTTGCTGTGACAAAATACCTGACAAAATCAGTTTAAAAGGAGAAAAGGTTTATTTTGGCTAACAGTTTCAGATGTTTCATTCCATTGGTCTGCTGGTCCCACTGTTTCTGAGCCCGAGGTGAAGCAGTACGTCATGGCAGAAGGATGCAATAGAGCAAAACTCACCTCTTGGCAACCAGGAAGGAGAGAGAGAGAGATAGGAAGGAGCTCAGGGCAAGTTATACCCACATGATTCACTCCCTTCTATTAGGCCCAGCCTCCAGAGTTTCCAATACCTCCCAATAATGCAACCAAATTGTGAATGGATTGATCCACTGATAAAGTCAGAGCTCTCAGGATCCAATCACCTTTCAAAAGCCCCACCTTTGAACATATGAGCTTTGGGGGGAAATTTTGAGTCCAAACTAACAATGTCCAAGAAAGAAAGCCCAAGATTCCAATAACCAAAAAGAAGTTGCTATCCCCAAATATCACATTTAAATTTGTTAAATTTATTACTAAATACTATACAGATGAGCAAAACATTTGTGAGGAAAATTATAAAATATACTTTAAAGACATAAAGGAAGACCAAAAGAAATGATAGGCTAAGCCGGGCATGGTGGTACACACAAGCAGCCCTAGGACCCAGGAGAGACCAAGGCAAGAGGATCCCATGAATTGGAGACGAGCCTGAACTGCAGAGCAAAAATGATCCCCGGTACAAAAAAAAAAAAAGTATATGTCTCATTCATGGACAGATGGACAGCAACACAGTAATACTTAACCAAGAGTTAATCTATAAATTTAATTCTAATAAATATTTAACAAGGTTTTTCATAGGAAAACTTGACTAGTTCCAAGTTACATGAAAGTTTTAAAAAAGACTTAGCAGAGAATTATTATAAAGTAGTAGTAATTGCACAGTGCTGTATGAATCTAGAGCTAAACAAAAAGACCAGGAGAATATAAAAGAGACTTCAGAAACATATTCAAGCATTTTTAAACTGTTACAGTGGTGCAGCAAATATTAAAACCCACTAGGATTACAATAAAAACAAATGGTGAAGAGGTAGAGAAACTGGAACCCTTCTGCAGTGGTGATTAGAGAGTAAAATGACACAAGTATTACAGAAAACAGCATGGCAATTCCTTAAAAGAATTACCATTTCTCAAAAATTCTTTGTCTCAATATTTTCCCAGGAGACTGAAGACAAGGACTCCAACACATACTCAAATACTCTGTTCATGGCAGCATTATTCACAAGAGCCAGAGGTTGGAAGCGACCCAAGTATCCATTGACAGATGAATGTATAAATAAAATTTGGCACTTTTGATTTTAGAAATAAAATTATAATACATGCCACAACATGAAGGCAATTTGAAGGTATACGCAAAGTGAAACAAAGAGAAAAAAAATCACAAAAATATTGTATGATCCCAATTATATGAGTTACCTAGAGTAGTCAAATTCTGAAAGACGAAAGTAGAAAGGTTGTTGCCAGGGACTGAGGGATGAAGGGACTGGGGAGTTGTTTAGTAGGTAGAGAGCTTCAGTTTTACACGATGAAAAGAGGTATGGAGACTGGTTGCACAATATGCATTTACTTAGGCCAACTAAACTACATATTTTAAAATGGTTAAGATGATAAATTTTATGTTTCATGTACTTTACCAGTTAAAGAATAAATTTCAAAAATATCTGAGAAATTAAATTTTAAGAAGAGGTGTTGAAATAACTGTATTTTCTTGCAAAAAATCAAATCAGATACATTTCTTATTCCAATGCTATGTAAGACCTAAGTGTAAAAAAACTTTAAAACTAGGAAAGTGTAGATAATTATCTTTTTCACATTAGAAATACAGAAGTGTTTTAAAAAGAAAGCATAAAAAGTATAAAATAGTTTTGACTGTGCCAATATTATAACTTTGTGTGGCAATCAAAATGAAGTTGGGTATCATGCCTGTACTAGGGGTCTGAAGCAGGAAGATTGCTTGAACCTAGGAGTTTGAATTTTAAGTACTTTTCCTGTCTCAAAAAAAAAAAAAAGTGCAAACTAAGGCTGGGGATATAGCTCAACCACAGAGCATTTTTAGTATTTCAGAGGTCCTAGATTTGATCCCCATCACCACACACACACACACAATAACAAGGTACTGTATTATTTTGGAAGACATATTAGCAATACTATAAAAGCAATATCCAAAACTTTACACACATATACATATACACACCCATTCACATACAAGCTATAAATCAAATTACACAACTGAAAAATGGACAAAGCTTATAAACAATTTGAAAGGAAAGTACAATAATGACCAGTATATATTTACAAACCCCACTAATAATCCAAACTTAATAACAAAATACTATTTCATATCCATCAGCTTGACAAAAGTAACAGTATAATAATACAAAACCTAGTGAAGATGTGGGTAAATGGAAATACTCATAGATGGCTGATGAGAGGATAAAATGTAATTCTCACTTATAGAGCAATTTGTCACCTATCCAGTGAAGTTGAAAGTCCTAAGATCCCACAGTTCTGTATAAATCCTTGAGAAATTTCCAAAAGTGGCACAAGAATAGTAAGAGCAAAATAATTTGTAAAGAGAAAACTGGAAATAACTCACATTTCTATCAGCAGTTACAAGATAAATAAGTTGAGGTATATCTGATAATACAAAAAAAGGAAGAAAGAATAGATAACATACTAAATTCACGATAGTGTTTGCTTCTAAGGAAGCAGGAAAACAAATAGGACTGAGAATAGAAAGGCAGGCAACTTCAGCTATATTTACAATATGTTTTTCAAAGGTAAGCAAATAAACAGAAACAAATATTCATCTCCCCCCCCCATCTCTCAACATTTTTGGTGATGCAAGTGTCCTCACATCCACTTTTTTTTGACATCTCTTTGGTCTTAAATGTTTCTATACCCCAAAATTCATACATTGATGTCTCAACCCCAAGATGATAGCATTAAAAAAATAGGCTTTTGGGAAGCAATTAGATTATGAAAATAGAGCTCTCATGAGTGGGAGCTTCCCTCATCATGGGAAAACATGAAAAAAGTCAGTAAGGAACAAACCCTCACTAGTCACTGAATCCACTAGGACCTTAAACTCAGACTTTTAAGCCTCCAGAACTGTGAGAAGCAAATGTTTCTATACACACCATCCAGTTTATGGTGTTTTTATAATAGCAGTATGACAGTAATCATTTCATGAGTAAGACAGTAATTTCTTGCACTCAGTGTATTAATTTTTAACTTAAAAAAGATGAAGCCCAGGCTAGAAAAACCAAGGTGTGAAACCAAGGAGGAGCCTTAGAGACTAAAAAAGAAAAGCAGAATATGAACCAATTACTCTGGTTTTAGTAAAGCCAGTTTTAGGGTATTGACTGTGAGAGAATAGCTGTTTAAAAACAGCCATTCATCTGGCTTTAGCATGACAGTAATTAGGTTTCTAGCCTCAGCCAACTCTCTTGTATGTTTCGGCTGCAGTTGCAAAGGCAAACAGGTGAACAAGAGTAGACCGGTGTTTTTTTGGTATGGGGATCAAACTCAGGACCTTGCACTTGCCAAGCAGGCACGGCACCCCTGAGCTAACTCCACAGCTCTTCAGCATGATAGTAAGATAAAAATATGTTCAGTTTCCTAGATTAAATAGTTTTAATAAGTGAATAGACCAAAAATTTAGGAACTAAAAATCATTACACAAGTAGGTATATATAACCTTCTACTGTGTGCTGTGAAAGGAATAGGAGATGTGGTCCCAGCACTTATTAGGAAGTTGAGACACAAGGGGAATTGATGAATCAATAAAACTGGGGTAGTGTTTGAATAAATAAAAATGAGTGGCTTAGATAATATATTCTACAGAAGTTCGGTAGAGAAAGTGAAGATAGACTATTCATTAGTCCAAGATTATTAATCAAGTCCAGGACAAGAGGAAGACACAAAAAAGTAGGGTCTGGGTAGGGAGAAAAAAGACTGGCAGGGAGTTTTAGGTACAATAAAATAATTCATACAAGGTATAATAGCACAAATGTATGAAGTATGATCTGGTGGTGTGGCTAAAGACCAGCCTAGCTGGAGCAGACACCACAACGTAATGAGAAATATAGTTGGAATGAGAGGCTGAAAATTCTAACCCCAAGACAGAAAATTCTAAAATTGTAAGTTATTTTGGACAGGAAACTACCAAAGATTTTTAAGTAGTAGATGTAGGAAAATTATTCTGGAGGTATTAAAGAAAAGACTAGAAGCAAGGAAAAAACTTTTATTTTTCAAGGAAATAAACTTTGATGAGGCTTATTAAACTATAGAAGATTTCACCTTATTTTTATAAACAAACTTTAAAAATTATTACCTTCCAGCTTGAGACTTATCCCTCCACACTCTATAATTCCAATGAATTTGCCTTCTATCTCACCGTTCTTATAAACAAAAATTGTTGGTAAACAATTATCATGGTAGTGTTGAATACAGCTATCCACAATGGCTTTAACAAATTTAGTTGCTGGAAACTTTCTTGCTAGGAGGCCAAGATGCTGATTGACCAACAAACACATTGGGATGCTAAAAAGAAAAATGGTACCCATAATATAAAAAAGAGACTTTTCTTTAAAAAGAGACTATTCACTTCAGCCTAATAAAATAAGTGAGACATCTCTATAATAACATATCTCTGCTTTTTACATAAAGGCCTATCCTAATCATCAGCTACTGTTACCCTTACCAGTGATAAATTGTATAAATTGTATGTATAATCCTCTGGTTCTTATTGGGTCCTAGAGATACAGTGGCTATTGTGGGAGTCTAATGCCTGACTTAGGCAAACTACACTCAACTTACTATCAATTTAAGTCAGTATAGTTTCCACAGGTAGGACACAGACCCAAACAAAAACATGGCATACTTTTATGGGGGGTTGAACTCGGGACTTTGTGCTTGTGAGGCAGGCAGCAGCACCACACAGCTAAATCCCTGGATGTACATGGTATACTTCTAAGAAACCTCTTAAAGTTTTAGTTGAAATAAAGTTCACAAGATTATTTCCACATAATGAGTATCACATTCAGTGTTCCTCATCTCAGGCTTCCTTGACCCTAGCAAACTTCAAACCTCATCCTCTTTAGCATTCCATTCCATGTCACCTCCTGGTCCCCATTCTCCAGAATCATTTCTCATCAGAAATTAAAAATTCATTAGAAGTATGACCAAAACCTCCAATTTTTCCTACTTAATCATGTAACTCCTATTATACCCATTCTCCAATTCACCCCCTTTCTCCTAGTCTATGTCCCTCACATATAGCCTGTTAGTCTCACCACCTCTATATTATTCCACAGCCCTTACATTCCCTATGGTAGTTGGTTATTTTACTTCACACTTAGGTTTTCTTATTGTTCCTTCTCCAAAGGCTCATTTCCCATTGTAAGCTTATTTAAGTTAATAAATCTTAGAGCTTTTATTTTTAGGCCCTTACAACCCTTCCTCCCCTTATAATAATTATTCTCTTTCCTTCTAGTCTCAGATCTTTTTCAAAAGGGAAGGGGAAGGGTGTTTTTCTTACCTCTATTTTTGAAATGCTGTCCTCTTTTGGTTTCTGCAATAACACTTTCTATTAATTTCCTTTTAGTCTGTGACTTTCTCTGTCTTTGTTCAAATGTAGATGTTCCTTATAATTATATCCTGGACCATATTCTCAGTCCAGACACATTCATTGGACAATCCTAACAATCCTGACATCAACAACTGATAAATTTCATCTCCCTTCTTCCCAATCCAAAAAAAAAAAAAGTCTGATCTATATTTTATTAGGTTGGCACTCTCTATTTTTTCCACAGTGTCTGATCAGTAATCAAGTCATATTGACTTCACCTCCTCATTTTGTATCCACCTCTACCCATTGCTTTACTTCTTTCCTTTCTTATCTGAGCTACATCAGATTACACTAAATCTGTTTACTGACTCATTATCTATATTGATCCTTGACCTGCTTACAAAAAAAGCTCAACATGAAAATCTAATTGTGTAACCCTGAGATTCTGCCCTTTCCCTAAGCTCAGAATTCTTTAGTGGCTCCTCACTCCCTTCTGGATAAAGTCTGGACTCTGCAGTGGGGCCATCAGGGATCTTAATGGCCTGGCCCCTGCCTACCTTTCCAGTATTATTCTCTATTTGACACCATATTGCACCATGTGCCTGAGAGAGACCAAATTACATAAAGCTTTCCAAAGCACCATGATACCTCATACTTCTGTGACTTTGTTCAAGCTGCTTATTCCTTATTTTAGAAGGAATGGGTCTAAAATAACCCATTCATCCTGTCGTACTCCCTCCAACCCTGTAAACCTAGGGAATTTATTCTTTCTTTGAATCCAAAACCAAGAATCAGTTACCATAGGAATTTTCCATACTTCTTCAAAGGTAGAACTTAACTATCTCTAGGGCTTTTATTCTACTCTGTAGACTTCAGCAATAGGACCTAAAAAACTTTATTATTATATTTTCTTCATCTATTGTATTAAAATTTATGCAATAGAAAAAATTTATGTTTTATTTGTCTTTGCATCCCTAGCATCAATGAAATTCTTAGAAATCTACTTTTAGGTCATGTTATACATCAGTTTATGGAGGAAAAAGCTAAACAAGACAAGTTATATATTTAAATTTCAAAATATGAACTTGGAGGAATATGAATAATAATAAATGCAAAATGTAATAAAAACCAGTGACGAGACCTGCATCAAGCTGAGTCCCTAGACTCACTGGCCCAGGAAGCTCAGCTTGCTATAAATGATCTTAAGCAGGTTGAGACTCTATTTGGGTAAAAAGTGGACTGAATTCCATAAATTTAATGTTGAGGAATTTAGGTACCTAGTGAAAAATAAACTCTTGCCTTCCTATAAAAGGAGGTAACTACAAATCTGAATTCATTTAACACTTATATTTCTCTTTATGATATTTAAATGTATTAATAAATTTATTGTTAAAAACTAGACTATTCTGGGATGGAGGTGTAGCTCCATGGTAGAGTGCTTTTCTGGCATGTGCAAAGCCCTAGGTTTGATTTTCAGTACTGCAAACAACTTGGGCAATTTAGTGACTTAGTGAGATCCTATCTACATACATACATTCATACATACATACATACACGTAGCCTAGTGCAAAGGCCCTGATTTTCATCTCCACTACTAAAACCCAAACCAAAACATTTTGACTTTTCTAAGAATATTTGAAATAAATAGTCATTTTCTATTATGCATTTTATAAATTTGGATATTTAGAGATGGATTTTATTACAATATATGTTATATGCTGATATGTGGCAATACTTTACTATACCCCAACCCCAAATGTATTTTCCTAATGTCAAGAAAATATTTAATGTAATGACCTTAGATTGGCATCAGAAAACTTTCTGAAGTCACATATTTATTATAAAACTCCATTCTTAGAATAGCAGAGCATGAGATTTTTGAAGCACACTAAAACACATTTTCTACCCCTTTATGAATTTTTGAAAATTATTTGTCAAAATTAGTAATTTATTTAGAAATAACCTTTAAAGGAAAAACATGTATTTACTTTAATGTGCATTCTGAAGCAGGATCCATTACGCTAAGCATATGGGGTAAGAAAAGGCATTCAATGAACCACTTCAGTATATAACATTTACTACAAACAGATCTCAGATTTGAAGATGTTAGGATTTCTCATTGTTATTGTGAGAACTACCTGCAGCATTTACAAATTAGTTTAATCAAAAAATGGAATAGGAAAATGGGAAGGAAATTACTTTTAAGACTTTAAAACTCTTTAAAAATCAATCTAACAATAGATTTAGATAATGATAAAAGTAATGTTTACTTTTATGGGGCATGTCTTACAATTTGGCTGAGAAACTGATGAGCTGACAAGTTGCAGAATTGTGACTTGCAAAAATTACTCTAAATGTCTCTAAGAATCTGGAGAAAAAATACATTATTCAGAGATTAAGATGACAATAATGAGGGCTACTGTCATGGCCTCTGCCCATGGAATGTCAGCATCCCTGAGGCCTAGGGCCTGGTACCTTGGAGCCAGCTAGACTTTCAATGAGAGAATGAGACTAGGGAAAAAGTCTACTCTCCTCAGCCATTACTGTAGTAGGCTGATAAGGAGTAGGGACATTTGTACATTAGTACAATGGAGCATTTTATTTTATTTTTTTCCAGCTTTAATTGAGTTTATTGGTACATTTTAGGGATACAGTACAGTTACATTCATTGTTGGGATCTTGTACCTCTACATGACAAGTCTTGATTCTCATTTTTTCCCCTTACCCCTGCCCTCCTTTCACCCTCTCCTCCCCTCCCCATCTACAAACACTTTATTTTCATCTTTTCATTATCTCACATTTTTTTCTTTTCCCTTATTACCCTTCCCCTACCCATCCCACCTTCCTTACACCTTTAGCTCCTTTCTTCTCATTTCTAAATGACAGAAATCATATTAGGATCTTATGTTTTATTGCAGATTATTCACACCAGGGCAGTGGAGCATTTTAAAATTAACGTTTTGGAAAATGAGGATGTGCAGAAAATTATTCTATTAAAAGAGCCTTAAGAGACATGAAATATCTGTATGTTCCACATGATCTTTGATTGGTTCCATTATGCAAACAACATGTATTAAAGAAAATTTGAAGTCAGCATGGAAATTTTGAGTGATAATTAGGTGGTAAATGTTACTAGGAATTACTGTTAATTTTACTAGATGGAAAAATGATATTGTGGTTGTGTAGAAGAATGCCCTTGATGGGTTCAGAGTATACTGTCCTAAAATATGCCACTCTGGCATAAGAATTATTTTGAGCTGAAAGTAACTGAGAAGAAACATAAGAAAACTCTCTGCCTTCCCTCTATCAGGAAGAATCATGATAATTCTTAATAACTAAAGATAACTGGAGATCAGAGAAATCCACATAACAAACCTTACTAAAACAACCTTTATCTCTTATTAGTTTCCTCCATGTATTTACCTTCCCACACCTCAGCAAAGTCCCTTTCCTTTGCTACTTTTTTGCATCACCAACTCTTTGAATTAATAATAGACTTCACTTTGTTTTTCTCCTGTTAATCTGTCAGTTGGCTACTTTGTAGGACCCAGCCAATGAACCTGAAATAGGCAGAGAAAAAAAGAATTTTTCTTTCCAACACCATTGTGTTTTAAAGATGCTTGCTGAAATACTCAGGGATAAATCACCACAAAGTATATAATTTACTTTGTAATGGTTTTTCAATTGCCAATACCAACATAGAAGCAATGATATAAATATGGCAAAATGGTCATTGTTGAGTCTATGCTAAGGTACTTTTTCTGCATTTTAAAATATTTTCCATAGTAAAAAGTTTTAAACTAACTACAAAGAGTACTTATTTTTCTAAGAAATGAAATGAGCTCTTCAAACTAAAAATAAAAATATTTTTAAATACCTAATTTAATCCCTCAAGTCAATGACTATTACAACTCTATAGATGTACTTACATATGTGTAATATATAGATGTCTTTTTCTTTTTGTTATATGCATTACAGAGCCTTAAAATCAGAAATGTCTTTTAAAACATTAGTACATTAACATTTTGAAATGTCATGGTAATTACCTTGATCTGTACAAGTGAATTATAACCCATGTGTCTTTTTCTGCATTTGTGACTTCATTCACATACTGATTTCCAGAAATTTCTCTTAATTCTCCAAATCTTTGTTTTTTCTGAAGTACTTTCCATTCTTTTAACCGCTTTTCTCTGATTAAAAAGTAAAATGAAATAAGAAAATTGTCATATTCTTGAGGTCATATTCATACACAGTAACAATTTAGGAAAAGGAATATAATGCCCATTCATATCAAACATTTTAAGTCACAAGGTAACATCAATGATCCTATAAAGTCAAATTATCTTATATGGGAATTTGTGTTATGATAGACATTACCAAGTATAATAAGTTTACTACTAACTTTTAACTTTATTTTTATTTAAGATTAGGTTATTTAGACATCAGGCCAACAAATTCTCACACAATTTAAATACTTCATGAGACAGAAAGCTTGTATAGTAGTTGATATTTAATTGAGTGCTTATTATTTGGCAGAACTTTTAAAAAGTATATTACATTGGCTAATTTAATCCTTGCAAAAACTTTATGAAATTCATGCTATTATTATTCCCATATTTATAACTTTTACATGCTAAACTGACCCTCAGTCCAGTCTTTGTGAATATTTATAATTGTAATAAACTAATTTTATTACAGGAAGCAAGGTAGCAGAAGAGTGATTAAAAGCTTGGCCTCTAAGACAGATAAACTGGATTTAAATGCCAGTTCTAGCACCTAATAGTACCATGAACTTGGGCAAGTTGTTTAATCTTCCTAAACTTCAGTTTTCCCAACTGTACATAAGAACATTAATACCTACTCTTGTTGGAGATTGCTGGGGATTAAATGAGATTGTACATGCAAATTTCTTAGCATATTATCTGGCCCCTATGAGAATTCCACAACATTTACCTATTTTGTTAAAACAACTTTCAGAATTTACATACTCTGATGATTAAGCTGTTTGATGGATTTATTCAGCAAACCCAGATGGTTTCTGATACTTCTTGAAGTTTCTTCACGTATTGATTTTATACCTCTAAGTTTGCTGGGGTACTTACCCTCCTTTGTCCACATGTTAACTATATTATCTTATTTTCTGTCATCTATTGATCTTCTAGACTCAGTGCCAATCTCAGGTCAAGCTAATTCTAAGAAAGAGTACACACTAGCTAGAGAGCAAGTTCTTCAAATGCAAACCAAGCAATACAGAGCACAGACCCTCAGTCATCTTTATCAGGCTGAGCCATACCTGTGCTTGCCCCGTCATCACAAGGCATGGTAGGAAACAACTAGAGATGGTCTTGAAAGCCCAGAGCCCACCAAAAATCATTGTACCTACTCTGTCTTTAGCCTGTTTATCCTCCCTGTGTAATCTTTCCTGCTGCAGATCATGCCCATGCTTTTCCCTTCCTCCTTCTGGCTCCTAACAAATTCAGGTGTTTAGGAGGGATGTCTCTTAGGAACGGTGAATGACAACCTATCCTTTGAATGGCAACTCTCTCTTGATCATACTTGAATAAAAACAAAATCCTGGATACATTTTAAAACATTCTGGCTGTATTTTATGTGTAGAAATATGTCAGGCAAAAGCTCTCACTTTACACAGTCCAAGCAAAGTGAAGCCTAAAAGAAGATGCTAAAGATAATAATGCAGGGTTAAATAGAACTTCTCATAGTTTTCCAATTGAAGTCCTTTAACTGTTCCTCTCCCGGAAGATATAGAACCTAGAGCTACTTAAAAGATAGCCTGGGAGTGCTCGCTTTGGCAGCACATATACTAAAATTGGAACGATACAGAGAAGATTAGCATGGCCCCTGCGCAAGGATGACACGCAAATTCGTGAAGCGTTCAATATTTTTACTCCTAAGAGAAATAAATAAGTCACACATGTGTAAATACCGAGTAGTTTCCCTGGTGTGAATAATCTGCAATAATACATAAGATCCTAATAAGATTACTGACATTTAGAAATGGGAAGAAAGGAGCTAAAGGTGTAGGGAAGGTTGGATGGGTAGGGGAAGGGTAATAAGGGAAAAGAAAAAAGTGAGATAATGAAAAGATAGAAATAAAGTGTTTGTAGATGGGGAGGGGAGGAGGGGGTGAAGGGAGGGCAGGGGTAAGGGGAAAAAGTGAGAATCAAGACTTGTCATGTAGAGGTACAAGATCCCAACAATGAATGTAACTGTACTGTATCCCTAAAATGTACCAATAAACTCAATTAAAGCTGAAAAAAAAAGATCTCCTGGGAGCTCTACTTTGTTTGTACTGATTATTTAATATTGCTATCACTAACTCCATTTGATCTCACTGGCTTAATGTTCGGAAATTTCAAAATGTTCTTGTTCCAGTGATAGCACCATGCCCTATTTAATGCTGTAACTGCCAACTACTTCCCTCCCCTGCTTTTACCACCTCCTCTTTCTATTTTCTATTTCATTGGATTGGGCTGGGGAGAAAAGTAAATATATAGGCTAGTTTTGCCATTAGGAAGTCACATAGTGTTCAGTGACCTGCATTTTTCACTGAACAGTCAGATCAGTTGAGATCAAATTGCATAAACAGAAAGCCTTCTGATTATTTTAAGTAGTAAGGAGTTTAATCTGGGGAATTAAGTGCTATGCAAACTCAGTGGAGAGGTAGAAGGAGTAGATTCTAGATTGGGCAACCAGAAATGACTCCATTGCAAAACTGGTCTGCCAAGGCTTTCTTTGCCATAATCTAGAAATCAGGGAATCTGGAACCTGTATTCTTATTGTTGTCCTATCAGCTTACTCTTGAGACTCTGAAATCCACAGTAGCAATTGTTGTCTGGAAATCCCTCTCCATAGCAATAATCTGATGATGATAAACTGCTACCAGAATAATGGCTCCAAAACTATAATGTAATTTCTATATTAGTGCTGGTTAGGTGGGTGCATTGTGTGCTATTATTATCTTTCCTCCATAATTTGGCTCTGAATTCAAATATCCTGTGAATCTGCTCAACAGATCTAAATTATATTACCCATATTGAAGTGAAGTCTGAGACATATAGTTTCAGCTTTTTAGCTTTGGCAGTACTGGCATATATACCAAGAAAAAGAGGAACATGTGTCAAGAAAATCAGTTTAGTGTATTTGCCATGAAAGCAGACTACAGATATGTCCATGGCTACATACAATTTTTTCTTCATCTTTTTAGCTATAAGAGCCTCTGAACTGATTCACTTGTTATTTTGTAGCTAAGTACCTACAAAATAGTATTTTATCTCTTCTTTTTGAATATTATATTTTCTTTATTTATCTTGTCCTGATGCCTGGTTAGGACCTATAGTTTTATTATATCAAAAAAAAAAAAAAACAGAACATACTTGCTGGCTTCCTTTCTAGATATATTAGGACCATAAGACTGGAACATGAATCAAAGTGATATATCAATTTCTATGATTCTTCTCTAAAATATCCTCTATGAGGTAGAGGATTTTGAGATGATATAACCCTAATGAAAAGGATGCAAGCCATAGTCATTGTGTGGAAAAGAACTGATTAGGAAAAAAACTGGATCCAAAAGTTGTGGAATCATTATTACTATCTAATTATAAAACATGTTTATCACACCAAACTGAACCCTGTACCTATTTACAGTTACTCTCTATTTGCTTCTCTGAGGACCTGGTATCCAATAACCTGTTTTCTGTCTATATGGCCTTTGCAACTGGTTTCTTTTTAGTATGATTTTCAAAGTTCATCCATGTTGTAAAACATATTGGTACTTTATTTTGTTTTATGGGTGAATAATAATTCCATTGCAAAAATATAGTACTTTTGGTGATCCACACAGTAGTTATAGATATTCAGTTTGTTTCTACTTTTTGGCTGTGATGATGCTATGAACATTTTTATACATATTCTATGTTTTTGTTATCTTGGGTATATACCCAACAATGAAACTGTTCAATAACATGAGAACTTTACATTTAAGCTTTTGATGATTTGTCAGAATGTATTTCAAAGTGGTTGCATCATTTTGCATTTTTACCAGCAAAGACAAGGGTGTTAATTTCTGTTTTGTTTGAAACAGGGTCTCACTATGTAGTTGAGGCTGACCTGGAACTCATTATGTAGCCCAGGCTGGTCTTGAATTCACAGCGATCCTCCTGCCTCAGCCTCCTGAGTGCTGGGATTACAGGTGTGTGCCACCACGCCCGGCAACAAGGGTGTTAATTTCTCTAAAGGCTTGCCAAGACTTTTGTTACTGTCTGTATTTTGTGTTACAATTATTCTAGTGAGCATACAGTGATTTTTTTTAACTTGGAGTCTGCCGTAAATCTGGTAGTTTGTGTCAGATTAAACTGATTTGCAGAATGGCCACTTGGTATTAGGTAAATTGAAGAATTGGTTGGCATGGGGAAAATCCTACATATTTTATGTCAGAAATGGTATGAGCATGGTGGCACATGCCTGTAATCCCAGGACTCTGGGAGGCTGAAGCAGGAGGATCACAAGCCCCACCTGGGCAACTAAACAATTTAGTAAGACCCTGTTTCAAAATAAAAAGGAGCTAGAATCCTTAGACACATATACACACACATGCACACAAAAACTGGGAGCGGGGGTAGGCAGAAATAGTGTGGGTAAAAACAAAAACAAAAACAAGCAAGAGTAACTAAAAAGTAAAATAACTAAATAAAAAATATTCCAGAGATCTTCAAAGCAAGCAAAAGAAAGAAATCAGCAGACTTAAAGATAGGACAATTACAATAACTATATTTTAGGAAGGGAAAAAAAGGTGAAGAAAAATGTATGGTAGGTGGAACACTATCAAGCAGACAAAAATACATATTGTGGAAATCCCAAAAGAGAGAGAAGAGAGAAAAGAGGTCATAAAGAATATCTGAAGAAATAATGGCTAAAAACTTCCTAAATTTGATGAAAGACATGGATCTACAAATCTAGGAGATCTAACAAACTCCAAAGAGGATAAACTCAAAGATACTCTTGTATGAGAGAAGAAAGTCATAAAGAGGTCATTAACAAAACTATCATCCAGTTTCTCATTGGATGCTAAAAGGGAAGAGTTTGGTATACTTAAGACTACTGAAAGAAAATAATTTTCAGCTCAGAATTCTATGTCTGGCAAAACTATGCTTGAAGAATAAAGGAGAAATTAAGGTATTCCAAGACAAAACAAAATGAGGGAATTTGTTAGTATTAGACCTTTCCTACAAAGTATGCAAAAGGAGTCCTTCAGGCTGAAATAAAAAAACACTAGACAGTAACTAAAAGTCACAGGAAGACATAAAGACCATTGGTGAAGATAACCAAATAGGGAAATATAAAAGCCAGTATCACTATGCTTTTTTGGTTTTTAACTCCTTTTTTCCTATATGATATAAAAGGTAAATGTATAAAGCAATAATTATAAATCTACATTAATGGACACACCATTTAAAGCAGTGTAGTCTGTGCCAGTAGCAGCATAAATATTATTAAGATGAATAGGAGCCAAGTGTTTAAATGTTATTGATACTTGATTGCTATTATTGCTTTTTTTTCATACCAGGGATCAAACTCTAGACCTTGTGCTTGTGAAGCAGGTGGCAGAACCACTGAGCTAAACCCCCAGCCCTTAATGTTACTGAACCTAGATTGCTATTACTCAAACTAGAGGTTGGTTTTATCTCTAAGAAAACCACTAAGAAAAACATAGAAGATATATAGAAAAGGAAACAATAAATAAAAATGGTATACTGCAAAAAATCAGCTGAATGAAAAAAGAAAGCATTAATGGAAGAACTGAGGAACAAAAGCATATAAGAGAGGTTGGGATATAGTTCAGTGGAAAAGTATTTGCCTAGCAAGTTGGAGGCAATGGATTTGATCCCCAGCACTGGAAGAAAAAAAAAAATATATATATATACAAACACAAATACAAATAGATAAATGGTTGAAGCTAAGGCTGCCTTTAGGAGTAATTACTTTAAATGTAAGGGTATTTTCAATTAATTTGACTAATCTCTAATTACAGATAAAATGAATTTTATAGTAGTACTGGGGATGGAATACAGAGCCATCACAATGAGCTATATTTCTATACATCTTGAACCCTTAAAAGAAAATCTTTTTGAGTCAGAGTCTTATTAAGTTTCTAAGTTATCTGGGCTAGGCTCAAAACTACAATCCTCTTGCCTCAGCCTCCCAGAGTGCAGGGACTGCAGACATGTGCAACCATGACTGGCTCTCAGACCTTTTAGAAGGACTTTAATCTCACTCGTAAGTAGGCAGCCCTCATGACCTTCCCAAAATGCTCCACCTGTTAATACCATTGGCTAATGGTTAGGTTTCAACATAAAAATTTTGAAAGAATACAAATATTCAGATTACAGTGCTATCATTTATATTTTTCAGGAGGTTTCATTACATATGGATGACTGGTTAAATGATTAGTCATTGGTGATTAATTCAAATTCCTTCCTCTTCTCCTGGAGGAGGTGAGGTTGAAAGTTCCAATCCTCTAATCACATGCATGATTCTTCTGGAAACTGATCCCATCCTGAAGGTATCTAAGAAGACTTCATCTGCGATGAGTCATCTCATTAGCATACAAAATCATGATAGTCTTTTTATTGATATTTTCTGTTTACTCATACATAATTAATGAAGTTCTACTTTACATAATTGGATGATTTTCTATTTTAGGGTTTTTTTTTCTAGTGCTGAAAAGGCCTTGCTTGTAGGTCTGAGAGCCAGTCAGGTGGCACACTTCTGCAATCCCTTGAATCCAGGGCCTCATACACAAAATACAGACACTCTACCTCTGAGTTATACTCACAGCCCATGATAATTTTGCAATAAAAACAAGCAGAAGGAAAAAAGTTTTTAATGATGTAATTTTATCTCATAAAAAGGGAGTTTAAAAAATACTACTAAAATTTAGATTTCTTCATTTTCAAGTTTATTCCAAAAACATAAAAATTATTGGTTTCATTTTCATACTTCTTTATTCAAAAATTCTTAAGCCAAATAAATCACTTTACCTATATGTTTCAATAGCTTTCATATCTTCTTCATCAAATTCATCTTCAGCATCTTCCAATTGTGCAAGAGTCATCTTTTCATATGGTTTCACTAAAATAACATAAATTAAGATAATTGTTTAAAAACTACTTTCACTGCACAATAAAATATTTTTAAAAAACCAATTAGCTCCAATAAATGACATCAAGAATGTCTTTAAACAAACCTGAAGCAATTAGTCACGATAGTTTAGATATTGTAGAAGTTACAACATTAAAGTTTTATTAACTCCTTCAAAGTTCACAGAATTCACAGGGTATACGTAAAAGTAGATGTGATCTGAAAATTAATCAGACTACATGAATTTATATTTCCCCCAAGTACCTAGAAATCTTGAGAAATAATATGTATTCTATAGAATGACCAAAATGGAAGATAATCACAAGGCAGAGAAATATAGTGGGCTAAAGAAAAATCTCATGAATTTACATGTCAGAATATTTTAGCTCTTTCATTAGCTAGCATATTACTTTCATATGTGAATTGGCCACTTCATGTGTCAATACCCCAATTTTGAATGGATGAATAATTGAGTTTATATTCAATAATTTCTTATGCCTCTTTCGATGTTTTTGAAACACAACGTTGCTACCTTAACTGTGTTATTCCTTCATCTAGCCCACCAAATGCACAACTATACCCATTGCTTCTTTCTGTAAATGTAAGACCATTTCTTCAATTTCATCTTTTGGTTCTTCTTTTGGAGGAAGAATGCCAAAATTTCTTAAAATTTCATTCCATTCTGTATCTTCATTTGGATCCTTCACAAAACAAAAGAAAATCTATTGTCATAGCTGTGGACTTTAATACGTACTTGTAAAGTTGACAATTGATAAAGTAGCACTTCCAACTATATAATTATTTGTGAATTCTACAGATAATTAGTTTTGTATAGTAGAGCAAAGTGGTCTACTTTTTCACATTTCCCAGCATTAAAAGGATTATATCTTCTATCTTCAGTGTTACACTGAGAAATTAATTAAAAATCAACTTAGAATACATGTATCAAACATTAAGGAAGGAAATTTATAAATCATGGAAAATTCACCAATGACTTTAGCTGCCTAAATGAATTCCTATCATGCACAGATACGGTTTGGTTCCTTTTACACATAAGCATTCAAGACCTTCAGGTGAACTTGCTTCTGTTTTTAGCTATACCTCTTTGTGGGATTCTCATTCATGGGTTAAATCTTAGAAGAGGTCAGGAGACTTTCTAGAGTTCAATTTCTATCTAATCATCTTTTTCTATGAAAGTTAGTTTTGCTTTCCCTGTTACTTAATTATTGATTCCTTTGTTTGCAGCTTTTCCAGAGTTTGCCTACCATATGTTAGCTATTGGCCCTTTAGGTTTTGTCCACATTCTCTGATGTTTTCAGAGAAACAGAGAAATTAATCACACACATGAGTAAACACTGTAGCAGACAAATCTAAGATGATCTTTCTCTATGTGATTGGATGGAAACTGTGGCTTGCTTCTAACCAATGAGTATAGCAAAGATGAAGATATTATTATATTCTCTAAAATTTTTAACTTCTATTACCAGCCAACTCACTTCCTGACATTGACAAAGCAAGTTGCCATACTGTGAGGTGTTATAAGAAGAGAACGATGTAGCAACTGTGACCAAGAATAAACTCAGAATTAAGATCCTCAGCCAAATAGACCAAAAAAGAACTAAATCCTGCCAATTACCATGTAAGTGAACTTGGAAATGGATTCTTCCTCTGACACTCCTTCAAATGAGACCCAGCTCTGGCTATTTAATTAATTGCTATTAGCTATTACTTTAAGTGACTTTTAAAGATCTGACTTGTAATTATCTAGATTCAGGTCTTCTTAAGGGTCTTCTTTCTCTACAATTTTTAGCCGTTTTGATGAATCAAGATATATACAGTATTTCTTTTTATTTGTCCTGCATGGGCTCACCGGAATTTTGATAGCTGTAGAATAGCATCTTCTAACACTTCTGGAAAATTCACAGAAATTATCTAATTAAATACTCCTTGACAGAGTAATGGGAAAAAAATAAAAACCAGGATATATCATTTAAAGGTACAAGATCCCAATGATGAATGCAACTGTATTGTATACCTAAAATATACCTATAAAGAAAAAAGGAAAAAAATATTCCTTGAGCTCTTTCTGAAATTCTTCCTATTTCTAGTCTTCTAATCTTAAAAAAAAAAAGGCCATGGATTTATCTCAGTAGTTCTGTGGGAACCACTCAGTGGGAGGCACCTGCCTCCCAAGCACAAGGACCTAAGTTCGATCTCCAGTACCAAAAAACCAAACAAAACAAAACAAAACCCCATCTACTGATATTTTAATTTTTATTTGTTGCAGTTTTTGGTTTTTACAAGTTTGTCTATTTATAAAATATTTTTATTATGGTGAAACATATATAATACAAAACTTACCATTTTGACTATATTTAGTTAAATATATAGTACAGTACTAGATATAGTACAGTTTGGTGGCATTAAGTACATCCACACTGTTACACAACATTACCATTGTTCATTTCAGGGTCCTCCAACATTGTGTTACTGGCAACTCAGGTGTGTATGCTCAACATTCCCCCCAAATTATGGGAGGCCATTTATTTTGGTGAAAGCATAAGAGGCTTTATTCAAAACTAGCTCAGGGAAGATGGAGGAAGCTCATTGCCTCAAACCACCATCTTATTGTGTCCATTTGTACAAGGATATTTTATAGTAAGGAAGAGAGAGGAGGCACCTGTAGTGAGGTAGACAACTCCACACTTGTTTTATTCCTTTGTGAAAACTGATATCCTGGAACCAACATCTACACATTCTGTCTATTTATCTGAGTTAAGGGAGGAGGTGGTCAGTGGTTGTTTACAATCTAGGAAGGAGGAAGTTGGGTAAAGTAGCTTGTCTCTAAATTAAAAGATGCTTTCAAAGATCCATCTTTTCCTATTGGTTATAATCTTTTTCAAGACTGTTTTGGCTATTAAGTTCCCTTGAGATTCCACATAGATTTCAAGGTAGCTTTTTCCATGCCTTCAAAAATGAATGTTGAGGAGGATGGCTGCCGCTCATGACCCTGCAGTCGGCCCGCCCTTTCACCTGCACACTCCTGAGCATGCTGTCTATTGTGTCAACAGAGGCATACTCTGAAGGAGGCCATCTATTTGTATTTGTATTTTTTATTTTCAAAGTAATATTTTTCACTTGTCTTTAATCATTTAAAAATATTTTTATATTTTTCTTGTCTCAAAAGTTTTTCCTTCTTTAATCTTCTTTTTCTTACCTTCTTTTCTTTCTCTGTCTATCTCCCACCTTGATCTCCATTACTTTCCCTTTTTTCCTGTTCCTATAATTAACATTTATTTTGTTTCTTGTCCCTTTCTTCTCTTTTGCCTTCTCTCAATTGCCATTAGTTCTAAAAGAAAATGATTACAGTCTCTAGCCTCCCTATTACTGTTAGCCTGTTCTGTCATTGGAATACTTTGTTCTTTCCTCTTCTCTTCAACAGCTCCCTAGAGTTTGTGTGATCTTCCTGTGTCCTCTGACCTCACCTCTAACCTTTCTCTATTCTATCAATATATCCCTCCCTCCCCAACTTCTAAATCCCCATCCTAAAGAGTAAAGTTGCTACATTGAAGAGTTTATTCACTACAAACATATTTTGGGCTGGTCTTCAATTTTGATTTCATTCACATGGTTAAAGGTGATAGATTAATAACTACCACAAATTGTCATTTTCTAAGTTGTGCTTGATGTTATTGTGTTGCTGATTGTATCACTTGGGCTAAGGTGCTGTAATTGATCTAATCAGTTGTCCTCCCTGATATAATGAAAATGAGTTGGCCTCAGAGACATTAGAGACTCAAAACCTAAAGACAAGCTATATCTGGAAGATTGAAATATTAACCCAGGAATTAAACAAGGACAGTACCAATGACAAAGATAGAAATGAGAAGGCATTTAAAAAAGACACAAACACAGACTTCCACCCCACAGAAAGTAAACTCTGGGGGAAATGAGGTGAAAAAAATCTCACAGTCAAACATCTGGACACTCTGAACCTAAAGCACACAAAGTAACAGAATCAATAAACAAGGCTCTAGAAAAATTCAAAACAGAAATAATTTCCCAGATAACCACAGAGATGGTGAGAAAAATGAAAGACATGATTAGAGACTCTAGAACAGAAACAGATTTTTAAAAACGCATGGGCTCAGGACCATGATGGAAACCATGAATGCTCAGCATAGGAAAGAAATGGAAACCTTGAATGCCCAACATTGGAAAGAAATAGGATCCATGAAACAGATTCAAACAGATCTCCAGATGATTAAAAACTCTATAGTAAGCATTCACAGAAGGACGAACAAATGTGAAGACAGAATTTCAGATATAGAAGATAGGATTACAGTCAGTGACCATGAAAAGAGAGATCTCTTAAAAACAGTAAGGGACCATGAGGAAACAATCCAAAAACTTTTAGATGATGCAAAGAACCATAATATAAGACTGACAGGAATTCATGAAGTAGCAGGAGAAAGTACAAATGACATTTTAAAAAAAAACTGTTCACAGAATTAATGATAGAAAACTTCCCAAACAGAAGGGAAGAATTTGACATACAGATAAGTGAGACATATAGATTTTAGATTTTTTTAGCCATGATTAAAAAAAAATCTACACCTAGACATATAATAATTAAGATCCCGGAAACCCAACAGAAGAACAAAATACTGAAAGCAGTTAGAGAAAAGAAACAAATAACATGCAAAGGAAATCAGAATCACAGCAGAATTTTCAACACAAGCCCTCTGGTCAAGGAGAGCCTGGAGTGAGGTATTTCAACTCCTAAGCGAAAACAACCTCCAACATAGACTGATGTATCCTGCAAAACTACCTTTCAAAATTGATGGGGAAATAAGATACTTCCATGACAAAGAACACCTAAGCAATTTCATGAACACCAAACTGGAGCTCCAAACACTTCTAAACAATATCCTGGAAAAATAAAATGAAGACTATAACTCCATAAGGGCCGACAGAGCAAATATATCAGGCAAGGCAAGAAATTAAAGGGGGAGAGGGATGGAAAAAAAAAAAAAGAACCAACAACAAGAAAATAACATGACAATGAAAAGTCAATATAACAGTCATACCATTAATGTTAATGGCCTCAATTCACCAATCAAAAGAAAAAGACTGGCAGAATGGATTAAGAAGCAAAATCCAGTAATATCCTGTATACAAGAAACCCACTTAATCCACAAAGAAATTCATAGACTGAGAGTGAAAGGATGTAGAACATTCCTCCATGTGACAGGAGCCCGGAAAAAAGCAGGGATAGCTATGTTATTTGCAGACAGAACAAATTTCAAACCAAAACTAATTAGGAGAGACAAAGAAGGCCACTACATCCTTGTAAAGGGAACAATACAAGAGGAAGAAATAACAGTCATAAATATATATGCACTGAATACTAATGCCTCTAACTATATAAAACAAATATTAAGGGTCGGGGATTTAGCTCAGTGGTTCCCACGCCTGCCTAGCTCAGTGGTTCCCACGCCTGCCTAGCAAGAAGTGCAAGGACCCGAATTCAATCCCTGTACCAAAAGCAAACAAACAAACTATTAATGGATGTGAAAAACAAAATAAGCACTAATACAATTGTAGTGGGGAAGCCGGGGATTTGGATCAGTGGTTCTGCCACCTGCTTTGCAAGGTCCCGAGTTTGATCCCAGTTACAAAAATTGTAGTGGAAGACCTT